GCGGTCGATGGAGTTTATTTGGTTGTGCAGCAGCCCCAGGGGTAAGCAGTTTCACCAGTCGAAAAGGCTACAAACAAATCCAAGTTGGCGAACACAAACAGCAGTTGTGCCAATGATTGAGGTCCCCGAAAGTAACCAGAGGGTATACACCAAACTAGCACAGATTGAAAATTACACCAAAGGCAGAATACTAGTGCACGACGCACACAGAAAACAGGTATAAGACAGTGAGCAGGAGGCAAAGGTACAATCCAGAACACGGTACCTCAAAAAACAGTGGCGTCCGTGGGTACAGCTGCTGCTGGATGGCAGTAAATGCTGGATCGACCATTGAGGTACCGTGATATAGCGCGTCTTATTCTCCTGGGGGGGGGGGGGGGGGGGGGGGGGGGGGGGGGGGGGGGGGGGGGGGGGGGGGGGGGGGGGGGGGGTGGGGGGGGGGGGGGGGGGGGGGGGGGGGGGGGGGGGGGGGGGGGGGGGGGGGGGGGGGGGGGGGGGGGGGGGGGGGGGTGGGGGGGGGGGGGGGGGGGGGGGGGGGGGGGGGGGGGGGGGGGGGGGGGGGGGGGGGGGGGGGGGGGGGGGGGGGGGGGGGGGGGGGGGGGGGGGGGGGGGGGGGGGGGGGGGGGGGGGGGGGGGGGGGGGGGGGGGGGGGGGGGGGGGGGGGGGGGGGGGGGGGGGGTGGGGGGGGGGGGGGGGGGGGGGGGGGGGGGGGGGGGGGGGGGGGGGGGGGGGGGGGGGGGGGGGGGGGGGGGGGGGGGGGGGGGGGGGGGGGGGGGGGGGGGGGGGGGGGGGGGGGGGGGGGGGGGGGGGGGGGGGGGGGGGGGGGGGGGGGGGGGGGGGGGGGGGGGGGGGGGACCGCCATTCAAGTGACGAACGCTGTAGAGGACCGAAATAGCCCCGAAAGACACGACGTCCACCATTAGTAGCTATGTATGACCTGGCGTTCAGAAACTGTTAGCGGCCATGCAAGCAGCTGGTGGTCATGGGTTCGGATCCTGATGGATCCTATGGATGCGCACTACTGATGATGCTCAAGAGGTTGAAACGGCAGTCGAGTGTTTTTCCGGACATGTGGAAGACTCTCTGATTTGGAAGCTGGCTGTGACGACCCTTCAATTATCCATAGCAAAATTCCTTACGCATGAATACATAAAATATGTCTGCCCTAACAGTTTCTAAACACTATGTTGCATATAGCTACTGTTAGTGGACGTCGTATCTTTTGGGGCCAACCCTGTCCTCTGCAACGTTCGTGACTTTCATAGCAGTGAAGGACAAGACGCGCTACATTACAGTTGGTTTGTAAATCATGACGGTCCGAAGCTGTCCCCCGTGGGGCAGTGGCATTAGCTACTGTCTGGTGGTGCAAGCTGCTGGGTTTGGGTCCTGATGGATCCGAGGGATTCGAACTATGGATGAGGCCCAACAGGCTGAAACTGCAGTCTAGTGTTTTTCCCGCCTTGAAAGCTGGCTGTGACGAACCTCAATTATCTATATCAAAATCATCAATACTTTGACTTGCTGTTTCTGGATCACGTGTAAGCCGATGCTGGTCGTCCTTTTCATGAATTCTGCGCCTTATCTTGCTGTTATAGGTAAACAATAGGAAAACTGAAGCGATTGCTTGTGTGGGGTCTTTACTAAATAAAAAAAATCAGTCGTGAGTAAAAACGTTAACGCCAAAGCACCGCGCGATTTAACTCCGGACAAATTTCCCTGCATATTTTCAAGTGCGTACTACAACACACGTGCAAATTAATAGCATCATGAAGAGTTAAGGAACCTGAGATGGCAAATTTACCAACATTCGTGAACCTACAAGCATGCACATGTTTGTCAATTCCTCAGCTGTCTATTGGCTTACTAACAAGGTAGAGCCCGGGTGACGAACGCGTCCATCTTCACACACAGACTAGGCTCAAGCTGTTTAATCGCGTATCGCAGCACATGAGTATTGTTTGATGCTTAGATCACACTGCACATACACATGGGGTCAACACAGTGTTTGTTGATCAGGAGATGGCCGTCGGTGGATGACGCAAACGAATTAACAGGTTGACCACTTGCGTTCATTGGCTGCACACGTTGGGTGGTGGGCGGTGCTAGGTTCGAAATGTGATTTTTGACCTACGCTGACATATTGTTGGGTGCCGCCTGGGATACTAGTCGGTAATCAGTGACACGTAAGAGACGTGTTAACTAGATGACAGTATGGAAGTTGAAGGCGACTGAAAGCAACGTATATTGTGCAGGCTACAAAAATAGGAAGCGAATCAACCAGAGTGAGAAACGGTGCAGCAAAATACTCACCGAAACGATTAGTGTCAACGGAGGTGACGTCAGTAAAACAAGTGGAGATTTTGAAGGTTATGACAACGGTAAAATCCAATGTTACAAAATACTGAAAGGACGTATTTTCCGGTACACTACAATGTGCTCCGCGATTCTCACCCGCAACTGGCGCTCTGTCGATGTAGGTGGCCTTGCAATTACATGCAACTTTGTAGACGATGTGTGTATGGCTGGACCGAGGTGGCCTTAAGACACACCACAATCAACTTGCACGGGGTTAACTAGGGAGCTGCGAAATATAAACATCGCTGTAGAAGAAGTAAGTTGGCGACCCAGGTTAGAAGAGCGTTACCGATCCCATAATATCGGAGCTTGGAAATGATTATACGAGGATCTAGACCATCATCATCATCATCATCATCATCATCATCATCATCATCATCATCATCATCATCATCATCATCATCATCATCATCATCATCATCATCATCATCATCATCATCATCATCATCATCATCATCATCATCATCATCATCATCATCATCATCATCATCATCATCATCATCATCATCATCATCATCATCATCATCATCATCATCATCATCATCATCATCATCATCATCATCATCATCATCATCATCATCATCATCATCATCATCATCATCATCATCATCATCATCATATCATCATCCATCATCATCATCATCATCATCATCATCATCATCATCATCATCATCATCATCATCATCATCATCATCATCATCATCATCATCATCATCATCATCATCATCATCATCATTATACATGTCAACTGGAGGTGGTGAAACACCGCCGCTATTGTACGATCTAGACCAGGGGTCACCAAATTTTTTCCACGGCGGACCGGATAACGAGCAGAAGGAAAAGCGCGGGACAGATACCCAAAAAGATGAAGACCGTGGGCCGGATTAAATTTCAGTTCAATGCTTCTAGGCCAAAACGAAGGCTCTGAGCAAAAAGCGAATAAACTAAAATCGGTATTACATGTGAAATATGGCTGAATAGCGTGCAATGTAAAAAAGCAAGCAGTATATTTTTTAACCAAAAAAATTTATCAACAGGGCCGACATTTTGTGCACACACCCAAATGGAACAAACTAAGCAACAAAAGGATAAGTAAGATGTGGATTTCAAAATATCCTCAACGTCTGGTTTGGAATGACTGCACTCAATCAAAAGCACTGATTACAAAGGTATATCGATCAATCTGATTTAATGAATGGCTTCAGATATCTCCTTTTCGATAAGCTTTGTTCCAAGAAATAAGTTGTTCCAAACACTGACACCACACAGGCTGCAAACTTTTTCAGTTCCGGAAATGCAACATCAAGCATTCAGCGGTAAAATCAAACCGGCATTCTTTCCTGTGCCTCAGTGTCGACAAGACATTTGACTGAAAACCAACCGACTGTACTGCAACTGAAAGATCATCATGGTTGCAATCAAGCGGATTTTGGAAAAGAAGTATGTTACTCTCAATTCTGACGTGAGCAAAAATCTCTATAAAAATGTCTCTTCAATTCATGAAAAATTCTTCGCGGAAATTCAAACGGGACAACTACGGTTATCGTAACTCCAAATTCTTTGCACCAGTGCAAATGAGCAAAGGTTTCCCCTTCCAGTTGTGCTTCAAACAACGACAGCTTTCGTCCAAATCCACTGATGATTCTGTAGAAAACACAGATAAAGTGCTCCTTTCCATGTAGTTTCAAGCGCAGTTCATACGTGATGGATGTGGAACGTTATACACTACAGTTTGTAGGGTACATTCGTAATAGAAACTACAATATAAAGAAAGTTACGAAATATACGCTTTCGGTCAGCCTAAATAAACTGCATGTGGGAGCGTTTCAGATTCAGATGGGACTGGAACGATAGGAAAATCCCTTGAGTGTTCCTTCTTGAGCGGATCGTTGAGCCAGGAAATGATTAGATGTTAATAGGTCTTGATGGATCTAAAACGAAACACCCGAAGCACACCCTGGTCAACCAATTACTGCCCACGTTCCCTGCACTAGCAGTCCCCGCTGTGTAGGTCACGTGAAGTAAGGAAGACGTAGAAACAAAATAGAAGATAAAGAGGAAAGTCATTTAAATGTAGGATAACACCAACGAGTGAGGAGAATGAGAGAATGTAAACTTAAAGTTGGAAGATGGATGTGGTCAGGAGAAGGGAAAGGTTTCGTGTTGCCACCCAACAGCGTCTAACTGACACTGGAAATCATTAACCGTAGGTTGACTGACTACACTTTCTGGAAGGGAGTTCCAGCGCTCGACAACTCTACGCGATAACCGAGATTCTACCCTGATCCAATCGTAACGCGGCTTGTCTAGCTACATGGGATGATCACGAAGACAAAGCAACCTAGCCGGGCTAAATAGTTAGCTCAAGTTGTGTTTTTAACTGCAGTTCTTCAACCGGCAGAGGTTGCACAGAAACAGATGGAAATCGCCTAAATCCAAAGCTCCCGTCTGTGATGGTGGCTGAAAGCTGGGGCGAACCGAATCGCCTGCCTCAGTGCGGTCGATCAGGCGATCGATCGAGCGGACGAGTGGGTTTTTGAATATACAGCTTGTTGTACTTTGCCTCAGAGTTGCGAATAGAACGTTTGTGCGCAGAGCGGTGTGAGCTCTTTCTTTTGACGCGGCTGGGGAACCCAGGCACAAAACATGGTGACAGAGGTACAAACGTGTTAAAACTTGCTCGCCATTGAGGAGCAATCAATGATCTCATTGCCAACCCCGCTAGAGATGAGAGAAAGCAAATTGTCGGAAAACTGGAAAGCGTGGAAAACGGATTGGATGGAATTCGCGGCGTTGAACCAGTTGGATGAATATGCAAGACCATACCAGTGGGCAATGTTCTGGTATTCCATCTGCTTTGAATCAAGTCGTATAATGGAGGCCTGGGATCTTTGAGACAATGAATCGGATGTTTTGGAAATAATCGAGCGTTTTGAAGGATACTGGGAAGGTCGATCGCATATTTTTACCCACTGCCACCGAGTGGACGAGAATCGTTCAGTCGAGTCTGAAACCGATCACCAGTCGCTAGAGCGATTACCAAATAAATTGGAAAATCAAGAAGATCAGCACTGCATTTCTGCAATACCCCAGATACAGGGATTACCAGTACCGTCAAAGCTTGATTCAAGAGCCACCGTGAATACGTCGCCAGGTAAACAATACGGCGAAATTCAGTGTAGTATGAAACAGAGTTGTCACAAAAGGCGGAACGACTTCATGGTGCGCCCCAAAATTCAACTTATCGAAGTCGAAGCGACGCATGAGGAGCCTTATCTAATGCAACTGGGAAGAAATACGCGTTGTACCGCATTCGGCAACAGTCTAGGGCAGCTCCAATTTAGTCACAGTATAGACCGCAAGCTCGTTCGCAGTGGACGAGGATATGAAAACTGCAACAAAAGAACTACGAAAAAAACAAAAAAGGAAAGGATATGATGGCGGCTGAAATCTAGGGCAAGCGGAATCGCCTGCCTCAGTGCGGTCGATCAGGCAATTGATCGAGCGGACGAGTG